TTTGATATATTTACAGTAGGAAATTTACAAAATATCTTCATGGAACATGATCTTTATTTAATATCCTAATGATTTTTGGCATAAAAGAAAAATGGATAATTTTGACCCATACAATATATTTTTGGCTGTTGCTACAAATATACCCCAGCGACTTAAGACTGCTTTTGTGGTCCAGGGTCACATATATCTTTTCTGTATGTGGTGATATAAATGTGGAATATTCTTCACATTAAACAAATAGGAACAAAATCATGATTTTCATGTTCTGGCGGTTTCCTTGTCTAACATATCACCCTTTTATTGACAAAAACTGGATGATTTACTGGTTGAAACCTCGGAGACTGGAAAGTTTCATATTGGCAGAAATGTGAAAAATGTCATTCCTGAAGAAATTATTTTTTTTCATGCAACATAAATACATCTCTGAGGCCTGTTTAATCAAAAAAACTAATCTACATTAAAACCACAAAACCCATGTTAAATCCACAAAAGTGTTGACTTCTTCAAAACATTGTTCTAGTGAAGTTTGCTTGATTTATTTAACAAACTAACCTATAAAAGGGCGAATCTCACAAAACCCATCAAGAACACGGTCACACCCTAAAATCATTCAAATGAGGAACAAAATCATAATTTTCATGTTTTGGCGATTTCCTTGTATATCACCCCTTTATTGGTTGATTTACTGGTTTAAACATCAGAAAGCAGACTGGAAAATTCTCGTATTGGTAAAACAAAGTAATCCCTCAACAAACGGCTGAGCATAAAAACTGATATTACCATTTCAGAGGCTTACCTGAACAAATGAGGCTTTTGCTCCATTATACTGAACAATCTGTTCCGTCTCAACAAAGTTGGCTGCATGACCTTCAGAGTCAATACCTGGAAGAGAAAGAGAGCGTTTAGCAGCGTATGGAGAAAAGACAGGCACCGTCTCAAAGCGTACGAGCTTCACCTCTGATGTAGTAGCGGACGCCAGCGCGGAAACAGCTCCTCCTAGAAATTATGTTCCAGTCGAAGATTTTGCCGTTGATGCAGCACGACTTCATGGTGATGACTGAGAGCGGAGATTAAGGACTGTGACATGTGGAAGAGGAAGTCAATGCATGTATGAAAACTAGGGCTGTCAGTCGATTAAAATCTTTAATCGAATTAATTACATGACGTGTCGATTAATTAAACGCTAATTACATTTGGCTGTGAAAACACCCCCAAAAGATTATTTAAAGCTATTTTTGTGTTAAATGAGAAAGTGTCAAATAGACGTTACAAATAGTAGCTTTAGAAAGAAACGTTTAGGTTACAACATAAACTATGGAACATAAAAGAAGATAATTTGAGAAACATCTCAGATTTTTTTCGTTCATGCAGTGGAAGTCATTGGTAACCAAAACAGCTTTGTTACCAAAAGTCTTCAAAATACCTTCTTTTATGTTCCACAAAAGAAAGCAAGTCATTCAGGTTTTGAGTAAATGATGACATAATTAAATTTTTTTGGGTGAACTATTCCTTTAAAGTTTTTTTTAAATGAAATAATACTCTAAATAAGAAACTAAAAATGCCAGCAGGTGGCGTAAATGTACTTATGAGTCATTAATTCGTTTGATTCGTTCAAACGGCTGATTCATTCAGGAATTAAGTAAACGGCTCTGTTTATGAATGGGTCTTTGAATCATTGATTCACACGATTAGTTCAAAAAGTAATATTAAAGGTAATATTACACGTACAGTATACATACACAAAACTGTAAAAGGGACAGTACACCCAAAAATGAAAATTCTGTCATCATTTACTCACCCTCATGTCGTTCCAAACCTGTATGAGTTTCTTTCTTCTGTTAAACACAAAAGAAGATATTTTGAAGAATGTTGGTAACCAAATTGTTGCTGGTAGCCATTGACTTTCATTGTATTTTTTAAGTCAATGGCTACCGTCAGCCATTTGGTTACTAACATTCTTCAAAATATCATCTTTTGTGTTTAACGGAAGAAAGAAACTCATACAGGTTTGGAACGACATGAGGGTAAATAGTGACAGTATTTTCATTTTTGGGTGTACCATCGCTTTAAAGCTCAAAATATACTGTAAATTGGAGCTGCACGATTCTAAAATAAATTGAGAATCACGATTTTTTTGTAGGGGTGCTCCGATCAGGATTTTTGAGGTCGATCGCCGATCACAGAAAGCAGTATCTGCCGATACCGATCTTTTTAAAGCCTTCTTTTTATAATTTATAACTATTTATAGTGATAAGCGCGGAAAAAATACGCACCACATTCGCACTGCAAACGGCGTAATGTGAACCTGGCATTATGTGTGTGCGCTGCGAGTTTGCATCAGGAGAGCGCGCGGGTGCTGAATGGTTAAACACTGGCAAGAATTAAAAAGTAATGCAATATATAAACTTTAGTGACGATGTGACACTGCCTCGATTGTGCAAGTGCCAATTCCTGTGTCAACTGTGCAGCAATGAATGATTCAATGACTCACTCATAAATACTTGTTTCATTACTGGATGAATCAGTGTTTTTGAACGAATCTCTTGAATAAATGATTCAATGACTCACTCATAAATACTTGTTTCATTACTGGATGAATCAGCGTTTTTGAACAAATCTCTTGAATGAATGATTCAATGACAAATCCATTTTTTAACAGTCACTTGTCGCCACCTAGTGGAGAAACAATGCAATCGACAACATTATTTAAAGCGCCAGTTACTTTCAAAGGTAATTTGCTCTATAGACATCAATATTTATATCCAAACTATAAACTTTCATCCCAGTATTTCTGTAATAACAGGAATGACTGTAAGACAGAAATAATACAGTGTGGTTGAAAAGACTGCTGTTTCTTACCTAAACATTATAACTGCGATCTTTTACATTTACTCATTTAGCAGATGCTTTTATCCAAAGCGACGTACAAATGAGGACAATGGAAGCAATCAAAATCAACAAAAGAGCAATGATATGCAAGTGCTATAACAAGTCTCAGTAAGCAGTGAGCATTATAGGATTATGATATGTTTTATGACAGATATCTCTCTCACGCGCTCCAGCAGAGTCATCTCCTGAAACTCGGGGCTGGTGTTAGCCAGCCGCTGTAATGTGTGCGTCAGGTCGTAGTCTGTGGCGAAGAAGAAACCGTCTGTATTCAAGACGCTGTTGATCATAGACAAGAAGGCCTTGTTGTCCTGCATCTGGAAGATCCATACAGACATCATTAGTTTCTATACGACAAAGTTAGGCTGCATTCAGATACATTTGGAGAAAGCAGACCAACTTACTTGTAGAATAACATTTTTAATGTTACTTTCAATTACTTTGACTAAAAGCAATTTTTTTTAATGCAACATAAACAGTGTTGGGTGAAATGCATTGCTAAGCAATAACTGTAACAATTACTTTTCACCTGAAAACGCAAAGTAAGGGATTAATCTTAATTTTTCTGTATTTTAACTATAGAGTCATTCCGTGTCAAATCAACCAAATTTCAAAAATATTCCCGGTTCAAATTTTTGATTTTGCTAATATTTTTTCTGAAGAAAGATAAACATTTATAGTGATGAAAGCCAAAATATTAAAAGCCATGTATGAATATTCACCGAGTAATCCAAATGGCAATTTTCACCTGCGATTTAGAGCCAAATTACAGGAGGGAAAAAATGACTTCAGAAAGATGGCAGCATCACGATGTTATTTTTACACAGAGATTAGCAGGTCTATTAGTAAAATCTGTTGACTTGAGCAATCTTTGTTGCATTATGTACCAACGGTGACCATTCAAAAATGGGGAAACAGCACTTTTCAAGTTTTTTCTCCAAGGTTTGCATGCCTGTAACTGAAGAAGTATTGAAGATATCCTAATGCCCTTTTAGATATTGGGTCTGAACAAACTTACCTTTTGGCATCTTCAGTTAATATTCATGTATGGCTTTTAATATTTAGTTTAATCCCTATACATATCTGTCTTTTTTCAGAAAAAATATTTGAGATGACACTATAGTCACGTCTGATGCAGTTGCATTAAACACTGTATTCAGAACAGTGGATTTAACATCAAAATTGTTTTTAATATGACCTTCTCCCTTTAAATACTTATCAGATCATGAATAACTTATGCAATTTTATATGATTTATTTGAAAGAATTAAAAGCAGAATTAATTTAAGAATTTATTTGAAAGAATTAACAGCAGTTTCATGTCTATCCTTATACTGTTCAACTGGTAAAGGTTGATATGAAATTTAGAAAGTAATTAGTAATAATGCAATACTTTTTACAAAGAGTAATAATTACAGTAATGTAATTACACTGATGAAGGTGTAGTTAGTAGCAAGTAATTAATTACTTTTTTTTTTTTTTTTTTTTTTTACCCAACACTGACTGCTACCAGGATTATTACCTAATATTTTTTTTTTTTTTTTAAAGAGTAAGGTACTTGAAAAACAATGTTAAAATATTTCTCTAGGGACGTTTGGTTGATTTATTTGACAAACTAAAACTTCAAAAGGGGCGAATCTCACAAAATCTGTCAAAAACATGGTCACGTCTCAGCCTAAAATCATTAAAATATTTCTAAAAACTATTTTGCTTAAAGAAAAGGGAGCATGTTTAAGGTACATATATTCCATTTTATTTATATAATATTTTTTTTAATAATTATTTGGGTAAAATGTGACCTTTTGTGATTTTTTTGCCAATAAGAATACATACATTTCCAGCAAAACAGAAATATCTCTGCTCAAAATTCATTTTGAGGCATTCAGTGGTTCAACGTTGTGGTTTGGTTGTGCTTGGGTCAATTTGACCCGGAGAAGATTTTCTTTTTCCCGAAAATACTAGTTAATGTTATTGCATTGGACTCAAACTTACTGACTTTGTTTACACAGGGTATAAGTACTTCTCAGAAATTTTGGGGGAATTTTCATAATTTTTTGTGGGTTTTATTTCACCTTGTCACACTTGTGGTGTGGCCTCCAAACAATTGCTTATAAATGTCTCATTATGCTATATTATCACCAAATATTGGATTCAATCTTTTTATCAGCTTGTTGTTGGACTGGTTTTGTGTTTCTATTTGCATCTGATTAATCGTAGGCCTCATTTATCTGAGAGTAGGTACCTAATTTTTTAGTGAAAAAAGTATTTATGATGTATAATTTCCACAATATGAGATAAAAAATTATGAAAATTTGCACTGTTTATCACACTCGTGTGCTTTAATGTTTAATCAGGAAGTTTGCTTGGAAATGCTTTTATTTGTACAAAATTTGTATGCATGCGGGTCAAAGACAAAAAAGGGTTTAAGCATAAAAACAATAAGTGTAATACTGCTTTAAATTGTTGTTTTTCCCCAAAAAAATGTACACATTTTCTGTTTAATTTAATTGCAATTTTGTTTTTGTTTTTCTGAGCAAAAAATAAATATCATACATTTTCCCCTGATTTACAGAAAAGACCCACTAAAATGTCATTCAGTGTAACAATCTTGTCAGGCATATTTACAACAAAAATCTATTTATGACATATTAAAAGACTAATTACTTTCACCTCAAATACTAATTAGTTGTAATTTTAAATTTTTAAAAAGGTTTTGCCCATTTGTCAGTAAGAATTTTTTACTCATTTAAAACACAATAAAATGTAATAT